TTTTTTTTTGTGTGAGTGAGATGAATTAATGCATATTCATATTTATTTTAGAACTACAGTGACATCTTCTGATTTCTGTCACCATGGCGACACCAGAGCTGTCAATCAATAAATTGGAAAAAAAAAGTAACTTGCGTTACTTATTTGAAAAAGTAACTCAGATATTCTCTTGTAAATTTAAAAGTAATGCTTTACTTTACTAGTTACTTATCTGATTACGTAACTCGCGTTACTTGTAATGCGTTACCCCCAACACTGATTATGAGTAGCTAATGTAGCTCCTCACCGGGAATTCATCAAAGTCGTTTTAGAGAAAAAAATGAAGGTGAAATCACTTATATAGTTCTTTCTAAAATAAATATGTCATACCAAACATGTAAAACTAGCAGCAAGGCCCTCAATTTATTATATCACTATTTGTTTCCACTCAAAAGTCGTTTATTTAAAGCGTCTCCTGCGTTGACTTCCATCCAAATAGCCTCAGTCGCTTTTTAAGCGGAGTTTGGCTCCCTCTCGCGGAGTACTCCCTCTCGTACACGTGACCTTAATTAATATTCAGGAACCAATTCGGCCGCCTTTCAACAAATCAAGTAGGTCGATTTGGCAAACGTCACGCAAGTCTCTTAATATTCATGAGTCAAGCCTTCGCCATAGTAGACACCCGGGGTGGTACACTGACTGGCTGAGTGTGCTGTGAGGAGGGAGAGATGGATGCGACTCCGCTGTCTGCCGGCTGTGGTACTGAACATTTTCAGTATAACAATAGAGCTGGCATGTTTTGAATGGCAACGGTTTTACTGAGGAAAGCAGCACGTGAGATGATTGTTTAAATGTTTCGTGCATTTGTTTGAGTGATTCTGTTGATTTATGCAGTGAATGAGATGGAGGCCGGTGGAGATGAAGAGGGAGAGGCTCGGGAGGAGACCAAGGAGGTGAGAGAAGATGCATGCATGAAAGAATACATCTTTACTGCCTTCACATCTAATTATTATAACATTCTCTATTCATGAGCATAAATGAATCTCAGAGTAGTGAGAAAAGGGGAAATCGGAGATCAGGCTGTGGCTGTGTGAGTTAACCGGCTTTTTTATTCATTCCAGGGTTGACACCCTTTTCACGTGACAGTGTCTGAGCATCTTTTGTATGTCTCGTAAGAGTTTAAGCAGATCATGCAGATGAGGATCTTACATTATTATTGGTTTTTTACCAGTTTACCTTGGCACACATTATTATATGTGGTTGCATGTTACACCTTTCAATTCCTCCTCTTGTTGTTCATGCATATTCATATTTCTGTTGTGGTTTCATTCATATTAATATTTCCAATTATTAGATTAAACTTTACAAATTAACTGCATTAAACAAATTAATGGAAGGATAACCGTGACATAAGATTCAGTGGATCACATTTTTTGTATAATGGCAGGGCAACACGTTTGCATATGTTTGCAATTTATAGAAAGGAGAAAGAATAATTGGTTTTGTTAGTTCTTCAGAGAACTGGCCTTTTCTGAAAGGTGCCTAGAGGTTCTCACGAGGATTGCATCACTGTTACTGTCACTGAGAAAACGTGAAAGTATCATTTCATTTCGGTTTTGGAAATAAGACAAGTGTATTCATTTAAGGCAAGAAGAAGATCCATAATTACAGATTGATAACCAGAATTAGCTAGCAAGAACATACAGTATCTGCATACATACCCTCACATCTACAGTGTGGTTCAGTAGTCAGCGGTCACTATGTTTATTTGCAGGATGAATACTGTTATGAAATATTACTGTGTTAAATATAACGCTATGTGATTTTCAGTATATATATATTTTTAATATGTACACTTCCGTTCAAAAGTTTGTGGTCAAAAATTTTTTTTTTCATGTTTTTCAAGTCAATTATGCTTATAAAGCTGCATTTATTTGATCAAAAATACAGTAAAAATTGTGAAATATTATATAATAGTTATAAAATAATTTATATAATATATATATATATTTAATAAATAATAATATTTTCTATTTGAATATTTTTTATAATGTAATTTATTTCTTTATTAATGCGCAGCTGAATTTTCAGCATCATTACTCCAGTCTTCAGTGTCACATGATCCTTCAGAAATCATCTAATATGCTGATTTGCAGCTCAAGAAACATTTCTTATTATTATTAATTGTGAAAACAGTTGTGCTGCTTTTTTTTTTTTGTGGAAGATGTGATACATTTTTATTCAAGATTCTTTAATGAATAGAAAGTTCAAAAGAACAGCATTTATTTAAAATAGGCATTTTGTGTAACATTATAAATGTCTTTACTGTCACTTTTGATCAATTTAATGCATCCATGCTGAAAAAAAGTATTAATTTCCTTGAAAAAAAAAAAAATCTTGCTAACTCCAAACTTTTTTGGAGTTGTTTTAACAACTGCTGTGCTCTCAAATTATTTAATTTGTCATTACTTATATATCATTTTCTCAATATGTCATCACCTGTTCTCGTTTTTAGTGCCAGAGACTCACTGCAGAGAGAGATGAGGCTGAAAGGCAACTCAAACACATTAAACGGGGTAAGATCAAAACTGTTGCTAAAGAATGTGAAGTCATCTGCTGTTTCTTATTTCTGTTTGTCAGGCTTGTGTGTCATTCAAAAAGGTAAGAAAAATATTGCAATGTGCAACACAGAGTAGATTCTGTTTATATGTGTGGTCTATAATCATTTGAATGTCATTAATGGTACTACAGCAAATTCATTTTCTGATCTTCTGCATAGACCAGAGGTCAACAATTAGCACCCCGCGGTCCAGTTCCCGGCTCAATCTGGACCACAAATCATTACTCATAAATTAAGACCATTCTAAACAGCATTTTTTTCATAGCAACCCACTTAACCATAGCAAGCTCTTTTGGTGCGTTCAAGTCAAGTCAGAAAGATCGCATTAACGACACCACAAAGCCGAAATTACAAGTGGGAAACTCTGAAGTTTCTTTAAGCCCAGAGTTTACATGCAATGGATGCCCAATCTGTATTGATAATAAATTTGTGGAAAATCTAAGTTGCATCTACAAAATACAATAGTATTATACAATTACGAGAGAATATAACGATTCAATTTACAGCACCTTTATAAATTGGATAAAAACATAAAAAACAAAAACACACTGGTTCACATTCTTTATTCATCTTTTTGTAGAAAAAATCTTGCTGAATTGCTCTGACCAAGTGATTTGAATACGCCTGACATTGTAATTACAACTTCCCAACTCATAAATACACATTTTCCAGGAGGACTTGAATGCACCTACCAAGCCAGCCCAAAAGTCTTACATTACATTACACTTTAACCACATAATTCGAAAAAGTTTGCTCAATTAATGTATTATTTATTATTTGTGATTATGCTGGTGTCCAACAAATCTGACCTCAATGAACTCCATATATCACCTTTTCACTCAGAGTAGGAGGTGAAGATGATCTCACTTGGCTCTTCCCACTAACTTGACGCTCGGCGTTGTCTTATCTCATCTCCGATCCCCGCGCCCTCACCCATATCATCATGACATTACCTGGGGGCTCTTCTGAATGATCCATTATTGTAGGTGTTAGCGGTTATTCAAGTCTCCATGGCTACTAGGAGCCAACCGCGGAGATGCGACCTTACCTGCTTCCATTGCATTTTGTGACATGTAAGGAAACCCAGCCTCAGCTACTAACTAATTTGTTAGCACTCTGACAACACTCTAGCGGCTGCCAGCTTTAGGAACAGAATCTGGAAATTGTTCTCAGGTGAGAAAAAGCCAATTCTTCTCTGCAAGCTTAAAAATAGGGTTTCATTTAACAGGGTTTTTGAATGTTTGTACTCATGTTTATGTAGTGAATATGTGAGGCATTGTGGAGTATTGTTAATGTTTTTGAATGGATATTCAACTCTATGTACCTAGTTATATATGTAGAGAATACTAAAAAAAGCATATTTTTAATTCTTTTGGATAGCATGGATGTACAGTTCCTAATAATATTATGTATTTGATATTTCTCAGAGGAATAGTTGTCAATATTTATATTTACACACACACACACACATATATATATATATATGTAATTAGCATGCTATATACATACAATTGTGGATATTGTCTTTATACACTTTATTAATGTGTGTTGATTTCAGGATATAATTGTGCCTGGAAACCCGTTTGGTAAATTAGTTGGATATTTTGAATATTAGTTCACAATATTATTAAGCAAAAGTGGATATTGTGATGAATCCAGTTTTATTTTCGACTGTTCTGCTTTTTGGATATGCTTGCTGCCCTTTTTATTGTTGTGCTGGAATTGTCAGATATTCCCTAGGGAGGCAACATAGACCAGTCTCGTTATATCATTAATTATTAAAAATCACCAATTATTAATTATTTATCAGTAGAAAATGAATAGGCACCCGCTTTTCAACCTTCCATTGTAGTTCATGCCAAACCCCTCATGCACTCTCTTATCATTTCTGAAATGCAAGTCACCCTGAATATGATTTAGTGAAAATATATTCAGTATGAATGGCTCGAAAAGCAAAATGCATGACATTTTCACAATTACCTTGTGAGTTACGGTCAATTTTTGTACAACCCTGGTACATTTTTTCATGCAATGAAATGGCAGTGCATTTATTTTATAACCTCAACCTTACTAAATGGCACACATTCTTGCTGTGGCTAACATGACACAGCAAATGTCACAGTAGTTTGGCCTAGTTGCTGTCATACAGGACAATAGTCTTGTGCTGGGTGCATGCGATTGGTCTGTGTTCTATTTAATGATTGGCTGCTGCAGGGGAACTGCTGTCGAGTATCTGGGAGGTTCTGGATCTGCGTCTGGGAAAGCAGCTGTCTCGCACCTCCTCTTTGGGACGCCTGAGCAAGCTTCATTAAGAATACCCTCGGTACTTATGCAAATTAAAACAAAGACCGTGTGTTAAGCTATCAGCCCCATTACTCAGCTTATTTACCTTTACGCTTTACATCTCACGGTTTGTGTGTGAAAGGAGCAAAATCTTAATATTTACATAAAATGAATGCTGCTTGCATTTTAATGTAGTCTACACATCCTGTCCTGGGTTTGGAGTAGATTACGGGTTGCAAGCGCAGGCACAATTAGTGCTGGAGTTGAAACCAAAATTGCTTGGTGATTAAACCTTAACTGTTGAGATTTATTAAAAGAGTTTAATCGCTGTGATCAAAATTGGGACGGAAGCGCTTTAGACTAATGCCAGCCTAACGTTGTGTTAAAGTGGCAGACAAATGCTTGTTTGAAGCAGTCTGGAAAGGATGCTGCTGCATTTCTTTAGGCTTTCGCCTCTGTTCGACTGACTCCGCAGAGCCTTATTTTGCTCATGCAGCATTAAGCGTGCTGGACTTGCTGACCTAGAATCTGCTCACAGAAGAAAGCCCAGCAGCAGTGCTCTCTCGGTCAGTCATTAGAAGCCAAATGAGTTGAGCAGATGAGTTTGGACTGATCTGCAAGGGAAAGACAGAGCCCCACGCCTGTTATTGTGCTGCTTTATTTTTAGAGGCGGCACGTGCAAACTCACACACCCTGAATCATTGGCAGATGCAGAATCAGTGAATGACCCAGATGGGCTTAGATTGAGGTTGTTTTGCTTTTATTGTAGGCAAAGACCAGATATTTATACAGTATTTTAATATTATACAGTAATTTCAAGCAGTTTCCGCAGTGTTCAGTGATGTGATTTTGGTTTAAAACAAAGTATTATACATTTGTTTTTAGGGGAGTAACAATACACTGATGTCACGTATCAGTTCAATACAAGTTAGTGATCTCACAATACTTCAAACAAAGCCAAAATAGTGTTTTTTATGATTACTTTTAAGACCTGTGATAAAGATTAAAATGATTTGGTATTACCTCAGAAATCAGGGCTTAGTCCTTTTCAGTGGTATTGAATAGAAATATGTATCTGTTCAGCTAAAAATACAGAATTATGTTACACATATACATAGTTCAAAATAGTTTAAAATACTATATTTTATTAAATAATGCGTTTTATTTTTAGTTTATTCATATTAAATTAATAAACAGAAAGTGTGATCTTCTGGGTTTACCATATTTGATGCCAAATTAAATCTGTCTAAACTTTTATTTTGGGCGAACTTAGACAATACATGTTTTCTCTATCCACAATAAATATTATTGTTGCATTTTTGTATTGTGACACAATATATTGTTACACCCCTGTCTGTTTTTCATGTCCTCATATTAATAAAAAAAAAGTCTACTATTCTTATATACATTTGATTACATGATGCACAGTATGCTTGTAGACAGTAGCAAGCATTATATTATATTGGGTCAGTGGCTGTGATGGATCAGTGAGCTAAAAAAATCGATGGAGTGCATATTTGGATGATTTCTGATATGCATTTCTCTTATGGACATTTGCATTACCGAATTCTCTTTTGGATTTCGGTTTTAAGCAAGAGTTCTGGTAGCTGTTGAGAGATGTGAACTTCACTTTAAACTGTCAGGTTATTCTCTCATTGGCTCTGCAGATCTGCGCACTGCAGCACTGCTGCCCATCCTGCGTATTTACCTGGAAAGGGAGAAAAAAGTGGCTTAAACCTGCTGAATTTAAATAGTATTATAGTATTTATAAGTATTATATGCTACCCTGTAAGCTGTTTTAACAGTTTGATCTCTGATTTTTATTGATCACGTTTTTTGCACATCAAATTTGCATGTTTGCTTTTTTCTGTATAGTGTCAAACCTGTACTAAAATGATGTGATATCAGAATCAGTTCATGATCACCCCCTGAATAAGAGGTCAATGTGAGGTCATGCATTGACTACGCCCTGCTTTCCATTCTCACAATGTACAGTATGTTACCACATGAAAAGAACATGAGGGATATTTATTCTGGGAAAGGGCTCCGGGGCAGGCCATTGATGTACTTTGCTGTGACTGCATACGGAGAGACGGTTAACAAAGATTAAAAAATACAAGATTAATGTAAAAAATCTATTGCTCATTGTTAGTTAATGCATTAAATACAGCTAACAAATGGAACCCTATGATAAAGTGTAACCAAAAACCTTAATGATTTTATCAATTTATTTCTGTTTGTTGACATCTTTCAGCTTTTCATATATTTGAACTAAAAAGCAATATAAGCATGAAAAGAAATCTGTCGACGTTGTTAAAAGTGTTGAACTCAAAAGGAAATCTTTTGCAGTGAATTTGGCTGTGAATTTGAACTTGAGATTCAGATTAATCTGATTCATGAATGAATCTTTCAAAACATTTTTTTTTTATATGCCTCATTGTAAAAACAACAACAACAACAACAACATAAAAATTATGTAAAATGGCTGTGAAAAACATGGTAGCAACATTTTAAGTTTTACAGAATTCAATTTACAGTAAAAAACATTTAATTAACAGATGTTAATATAACAAATTCTGTTTTTTTACTGTTTTAAAAACATAGTTATTTAAATGATAACCCATCAAATGTGAGCTGTCACAGAGAATTCTGGGAATATCAATTTATGTGTTTCTCACTCTAAATTATATTACTGTACTTTTTTCACTGTTTTTTTTATATTTTATATACTTTTTATATCTATATATATATTTTATATTTTGCTTGTATAATTACATGAAATGTCCCATTAGATCTGTTTTTTTCTCTGTATGAAATAAGGGGATTTACTGTTAAAGGGGTCATATGATGCGATTTCATTTTTTCCTTTCTCTTTGGAGTGTTACAAGCTCTTGGTGCATAACAGGTTTTTGTTGTATTATTTTTTACAGTCTTTTACTGTTAAAACAATGCCAAACTTCAAAAATGGTCAAACTTCAAATGTCACTAATTTATGGTGTTAATAATTTTGTTTTGACCACTTTTAGTTGAATTGTGAGAACAGGAAGCTGACGTATTTGAGCCTGTCCTCACGGCCGTGTCTGGACGAGCTGCTGCCCAGTATTTCGGACTGCATTTCCCAAGAAGAAGAGACTGACACGCGAGAACCTGGCTCTGATCCTTTTTCACAGTATAAGCAGCAGGTCAAAGGTAAATACCATAGTGTATCTCAAACAAATGGGGTGCAGTTTGACAAAATATAAATAGGCCTGTGCACAATTTCCTTTGCCAAGTAATCTGTCATCATATTATATCAAGGGTACGTCCATTGCAAATTCAGATTTTTCCACAGATCTCCAAGAAACCGTGAGTTCTTTGCTGGAGGAGAAAAAGCAATTGACTTGTCAGCTTCAAAATCAGCAGAGGCAGATAGAGGAATTGACAGCACTTGTGAGTAGCAAAGCAACTTTTGAACTTTTTACGCAAATCAAGCTCAGTCGGGCTTGATGGCAGTGAATGGGGGCTTGGAATGCAAAGTGCTTGCAATATTTTAACCTGCTCATGAATAATAAATGAGCTTGAAATGAAGCTTTGCGCTACTGCTGATCCTAAAAGGATATCGGAGTAACAATGTCTAATTGAGTTTCTTAGCTGAAACATGTGTCTCATGTTCATTTACAGACTGAAAAGGAGCAGGCCGAGATGAAGGAGCTTTATAAAACCATTGAGCAGCAAAGCAAGACCATTAAAAGGTTCAACAGGGGTGAGTATGGACGTTATGAACACAGAGCCGCTTCATTTCCTCGCTTGTATTCAAATGCATGAGCTTGACATCATCTCAAATGGCCTGCAGTGCATCTGTGCATGTGTCTTCCAAGAAGATTAATGTTCCCCACCAGCCCACTCACTACCGTCAGAGTCCCCGATCAAATTATCTGTAAAAGATTCACCACAGGAAGTCCCTCTTCTCCAGCTGGGGGTGATGCACTTTGTTTTGTCATCCTCCCAGCTCCCTCTTTGCTCATTTGTGTTATTACTCTGACTGGAGTATTGGAAACTGCATTGCTCAAATGCTGCACTGGCTTATGCTGAACTTATTCTGAACACATAAATGTATATATATATATAATGTGTGAAGTCACATTGTTATTTAGAGCTTGGAACTGAGAGTTTTTGTTTTATATACAAGGAATGTCATGGCAGTAGAGACAATACAACCAATTTCTATTATGAGCTGGCTCTTTTTAATGAAAATGTCTAAAAGACTAAAATATGTGAACCATTCAAAAGTTTGGGGTCGGTAATATTTTATTTTTTATTTTTATTAATTTTTTTATTTTTTTTTGGGAGAGAAGTATTTTATGCTCACCAAGGCTAGATTTATTTAATAAAAAATGCAGTAAGTTAATTTTAAATAGCTGTTTCTTTTTTCTTTCTTAATATATTTTCAAACGTAATTTATTCCTGTGATCAAAGCTGAATTTTCAGTGTCACATGATCCTTCAGAAATCATTCTAATATGCTGATTTGCTGCTCAAGAAATATTTCCTATTATTATCAATGTTAAAAACAGCTGTGAGGCTTAATATTTTTGTGAAAATATGATACATTTTTTTCAGGATTCTTTGATGAATAGGAAGTTCAAAAGAACAGCATTTATTTGAAAGAGAAAACTTGTAACATTATAAATATCTTTACTGTCACTGTTTTGACCAATTTAATGCATCCTTGCTAAATAAAAGTATTTATTTATTTTTAAAAGTATTTCTTTATTTCTTCAGTAGTGTATTTTTCCATAAAGCATTACTTTTTATTTTGTGTAATTGTTAAGTATATAGTTAGATCCAATTATTCTTCGCTTAGTAAAAGAATCATTCATGTAAAAGTGGAATCAGTAAATTACCATCCATGCTGCCCCTAGAATAATCTATGCCTGTAATACTTTCTGTTATGATACGTTTTTGTATTATAACCCAAAAAGTCTAGGGATTGACCAGGTCTATTGCTTTAGTAGAATGAATCAGGTGTCATTGTTTATCTCTTCAGTGTCAATGATGGCCACTCATGAGTATGAAAACATGAAGGAGCAGCTGGATTTGGAGCAGAGCCTCAGGCAGAAAGCAGAGACCTATGCACACGAGGTACTGGATAAAACATGTCTGTATTCACTGTATCAATACACGGGTGACAGGCCAACTTCAGTCCCCGCTCTGACAAACTGTGACCTGGTGACCTCAAAATCCAACCAAAAGACAAGATAAATGTATTTATTGACTGATGAGTATGAATTGTCCACGATTGCTTGCATCACAGTAGTATGTTAATAGCTGAAGAAGCAAAATCATCTGAAATTGGAAGTCGTTTCCTAATGTTCATTTTCTCCTGTAGATGATGGTGAAGCAGAAAGAAGCAAACAGACAGAGCATGATTCTGCTGCAGCAGGGAGATCCCAGCATTCAGCTGATCAAAGCTTTGGAAGATGTGGCCAGTGTGACTAAAACATTAGAAGAAGAGAGAATACAGCACCAAGAGAAGGTAGGTGAAACTTCTGGAGTATAGGTTTTCAGTTTTATTAGCTAATTTCAGAAAAAAAATTTTGTGAAAGTTCAGCCATATTTGCACGAACACAATAAGCCTAATCATGGATTGCATGATAGGATTAGACAGCAGAATTAAATTGACTAAACCCCTTTTCATTGCTTTTAACACTGTCAGCTAGAGCTTTTCATAGACTTTCATAAATATTAATCCTCTAATATTCGTTATTTCTTTAGAACTCAATAACCGGTTTTGTCTTATTCAATAGCCACACACAATCCAGTTTAATCAGGCGCTAAATAGTGCTGTGCATTCATCTGACTTACCTAAAAGTGTTCTAATAATGTAATAACCTTCAATAAATGTAATCTTCGGCAAATCTCAAAATGAACACTTTTCATACTGTAAATTATAATGCAATGCCAAATTCACACATTTAAATGACTGGTTTTAGTTTGTAGGGACAGATTTACTAACAGCTTGCACCAGCACAAACCATTTTTTGGCATTAAAAAACTGCTGGCAGGATTTACTAAACACATTCAGTGATAAATTAGCGCTGAGATGTGTGGACACAGTTATTTTCGCTGCTGACTTTATTGCACATGTATTTCATTTGTAGGAGTTTCTCTTTCAGACGCACAATTTATGGGAGCAGAGTATTTAAATAAATCATGAAAAGTGATTTACTAAGGTTTGCAATAGACAATCTTCTGGTATTTGTGCCATTAATGCCCCAAAAAAGCATATTTTAACCCATTTCGCGCTTGACATGACTGTGATAGTTGCTAATTTGCACTGCTCTTGGTAGATTGTGTTGGGCAGAACTTTCCACTCCCATCTGCACATTTATGGGATTGTGCTCTCACGTTGATTAGTAAATCTGGCCCCTAGTGTTTTAGACAAAATAGTATTGAATTGTAGCATATGGCAACCCATATCCATGCATGCAGTGAAGTTGGCATTTCAAACAGCTGATTCAGGTGTTTCCTTCACAGTGATGGAGTGAGGCTGAGAATGTGTCAGACCACATTCATTCATTCTTCAGTTCCCCCACAATGTCTTGTTGGTAATCCAGTACTTTTCTTAGGGTCTCCTGTGGGTCTTCTGTTCTACATTTGCAGCATCAGCAGTGACATGTAATACTTTTCAAACCACATTAAATGATAAACGCATGTGGGCGATACACAACCACAGCTATATTAAACCAACACAAATCTCAAAGCACCAGAGGAGACATCCGGAGGCTTGACAGCTGTCATTATTTGGGGATTCATTCAGCAGCTGACTGTCATCAATAAGCTGTGGCAGCAAATAAATCATTTCCAGATCATCAGCTACTTATTACACCTGACACCGCAATCTGAGCAAACTGGATGAGCAAGGAATCATGGAGTGACAAAATTGCAGCATCACTAGTTCTAGTACTGCTTTTGGTGGCAAATTGGATTTAGTGTTTGTGAATCAGTAGGACTGACGTGTCATAAGTCAATATACAGTCTGACCCACAATGCATATCCAAAGAGCATGGATCCTAACTTCAGACGTCACGAAATCAATAGGCTATGTTAGCAAAGCCATGTTTACAAGTCAGCCTGTAAATATGGACTAATTCTGTACCAAAGTCAAGGACGTTTTACATTTGGCCCCAGTTTGAGTTCCGTTTGAGTTCATTGTACCAATCCAATCTAAAAGAATGACAGATTTCCACAGAAACAAATCACGAAACCATTTACGGGCATTTTAAATTATTTTTGAATATTGGTGTGTTCAAGTCCTCCTGAGAAGTTCATATTTGCGAGTAGGGAAGTCAGGTGTGTTCAAATTATTGTCGGAGCAATATAGTATGGAAGCTTGTTTCCACCATTGAATTAAAAATAAAAAAGGTACAATTCACAATTCTGACTTTTTTTCTCACAATTGCGAGTTTACGTCTCATAATTCTGACTTTTTTCTCAGAATCGCGTGATATAAACTTGCATTTGTGTGAGATAACCTCATGAATGTGAGAAAATAGTATTTTTTTTCTTCATAACTGGACTTTATAACTTTATAACTAGCTTTATATCTCACAATTTTGAGAAAAGATGTCAGAATTGTGAGAAATAATGTCAGAATTGCAAGTTTATATCTCTACATCTACAAAAATGATGAATAAAGAATGTGCATCTAGTGTGTTTTTATTAAATATATGAAGGTGCTGTAAATTAAATCATATAATCTATTGTAATTGTACTGTACAGTACTGTGGTATTTTTGTACATGCAACTCAGACAGACAGACAGACAGACAGACAGACAGATAGATAGATAGATAGATAGATAGATAGATAGATAGATTTATTGTAAATGAAAAAATAATAATTTCATTTTAACAAATTTACCATCAATACAGAAGATGCATCCATTGCTTCCAACATGTTTTCTCACTGACACGTGCCCAACTCAGAAACTATGGGCTTAAAGAAAATCCTGATTTTCCTAATGGTTTAACTCATAAATATGCGTTTTCCGACTTGAACTCAACATATGTCCCATTTGTTTGCAGGTAAAAGCTCTAGAGGCTGAACTGGACGAATGTGCTTTGCGTAAGCAGCTAGTTCAACTGCAAAGACAACTGGAGATATTAGACGAAGAAAAAAAAGAGACCGAGGGACGACTGCAGGAGGAAGAGAAGAGAAACACTCTTTTGGAACAGAAAGGTAAAACTAAGGATGACTTTAAATTTGAAGGCCAGATAATTGAGGCGCAAACCGCAGTGACCCACATGCAGTAACATCCCGGCATCCTTCTGTTGTTTGTCACAGTTAAAGAGCTGCAGGAGGAGAGGAGGAGCTGTGCTTCAGCATCAAGCCCCTCCCCTGGGACTGCTCCTCCCCCGGCCCCTCCTCC